ATTTGATCTTTTTAAAATACAAGGAGTTTTGAAAATCTTTTTATACTTTCATATCAGTAAAAGAGAAATGTGTTTAAAATGTTAGAAATGACAGCCAATTTCAAATTTTATAGACAAAATATATGAATGTGGTCCTAGCATTGACGTTTTCTTCAACCACAAAATCTTGGCATAAACAGACAGGGCCATACTTGCATAAGATTTGTAAGTGTTTCTTGGTGATGGTGATTTAAATATACGTACTACTATGAATAGGGTTTCCTAATTACTTTGAGTCTTCTCTCTCTTCAAAGAACATACCCAAGTGTTACAGCTATATATTACAAATCCTCCCCCATAATTTGTTGAGTCATTTGCGTCCTTTACAGTTAACTAGGATGAGAAACTATGAAGGTGTCTGGGATAGAGGAGATAATGGTAGCTTGTGCTTCAGACTAGATTTTTGTGGCAATCAAATTATTTTCAGTTCTATCTATTTCATGTATATTGTATTCTTTTTTAAATAAAAAAGACTTTACATGAGTGAAGCCATTTGGAACATTTACAAGTTTAAATAAATATCAATGTCTCTGAAAGTTCCATGAACTTCAAATGCCTATAGAATAGTTTAGACATCTGAGGAGTCTTCACACTTTCATTCAATTCAGAACCTACAAGATTCCTTAGAGTCTTGGGTTTTAAAAATCCATGGGCAGCACTCTGAGCTAGTCAGTTGTACTGAAGCAAGATGTGTCACAAAGGAGTTCTTCCTAGGATAAAGTTCTGAGACTGAATGTGGCAGATTTTATATTCTGGAAATGGCCACAGAGGTATTGTCCATTCCATGTGTTCTTCTACAATGTGGCTTGCTACTCCCCAGTCAAGAAGGAGGCGAATTCTTTCCCATTAAACTGAACTGTCAATGGTGATTTGCCCATCCAATAGAACTCAGCAGCAGAGATTTCATTTTGGGACTAAACAACAACAACAACAAACCCAATTGCTATCGAGTTGCTTCTGACTCATAGCAACCCTATAGGACAGAGTTTCCAAGGCTGTAAATAGAAGCAGACTGCCACATCTTTCTCCTGTGGAGCAGCTGGTAGGTTCAAACCACCCACATTTTGGTTAGCAGTTGAGAGCTTTAATCACTGCACCATCTAACTTTTAGGTCATAAAAGGCTTGCAGTGCCTCTGAGAGCTCTTGGGACCTCAGGCTGGATTTGTTCCCTCATAGGACCCAGTCTTCATGCTGAGAGAAGCCCATACTTTTGAAAGGCCACATGTTAGTGATCTGGTCAACCACTAGAGCTGGATTTTTAATCAACACCAACATCTATGACCAATCATGTGAAAAGCTCTTAGATGTCCAGGCCAAGTCAAGAGAAGTGAAAGACAATGTTTCTTTGTGAGCTCATCAGTTCTGGGGTAGTTTGTTTTGCAGCAATAGATTACTAGTCTTTCCTCCTGAACTCCCCAATGGTTTCCATGTGTGCTAAAAGCCCATCTCTGGATCCAGTCTCATTTGAATCTCAACATATTACTTGTGCAAGTTTTCCAAACACAAAGTCTCATATCAGTTCAACTTACCAGTCTCTACTAAAAACCAACAAAAACAAAACAAAACAAAAACCCAAACTCACTACTATCAAGTCAATTCTGACTCATAGTGACCCCCTTTGGTTTTCCGAGGTGGTAAATCTTTACGGAAGTGGATTGCCCAGTCTTCCTTCCATGGAGTGGCTGGTGGGTTTGAACCACTTACCATCTGGTTAGTAGTCAAATGTCATAGGCACTGTGCTATCAGAGCTCTTTAGTCTCTACTAACACACCCCTTTATCCTATGGACAGGTTCCTTCTCTGGGCTCTTGTCAGATTTCCTTCTTCTTGGGAGTCTAGTCTGACTACCTTGCTCCCACTAACGCACACAGCTTCCCGAGGTTGGGGATTGTCTCTTCCAGTTGTAATGACTGGCACATAGTGAGTGCTACATAAATTGTTGTTGTTGTTGTTATGTGCCATCGAGTCAGACTCGACTCATAGCAACCCCTCCTTGGGTTTCTGAGGCAATATCACTATGGAAGTAGATTGTCCAACCTTTCTTCTGAAGAGTGGCTGGTGGATTTGAACCACCAGTCTTCTGGTTAGCAGTCAAGTGCCTTAGGCACTATGCTACCAGAGCTCCTACATAAATTCTAGCTGTTGTCAAATGTAGGTCGTACCCCAGACAGGATTCACCTTGGGAACCTCTCAAGACTTTCTGCTATCACACTTGCTAGCATTGTTATAAAACTCCTAAGAATATCCCTCCAGTTTAAATCCTTTGATTACAATTTATCAGAGAAGGCCATGCGGAGGGCCAGAACAATGTGTGGCCCACACAGATTGATTTGGACAGACAGAGGCTACTACATCAGCTTTGTGGGCTGATTTCCCAGTTGTGAATATTTCACCCTGTTCTTTGTATTTTTGTCTTGTAAGGAAAAAAGATACTTTGAAAAGCCTGCAGAATATGGGTAGATTTTCCTTCTTTCTTGTCTTTGAAATTTAGAGATTAGATAACTAGTTGTCAAAGACTTGATTCTGACTCATGGGAACCCGGTTTGTGCAGAGCGGCTCTGTACTCCACAGGGGATTCAAGTCTGTGAACTTTCACAATCATAAATCACCAAACCTTTCTTGTGTCTCTGAATGGATTCAAACCTCCAACATTCTGTGGTTAGTGGTTGAGGGCTTTGCCGTATGCCCCACTTAAGGACTCCCAGTGATTAATAAGCTAGGTCTAAATTTGTCTCTGACTTTCACTCTTGTCCTTGTCACCTTCTTCCACCTGCAGCCAGAGTACTGTTTTAGAATTTCAGCCCCAAACGTGAGAGCTCATCCTTCATTTTTTGTGGACCTTAAGCCCACTCCTCCAGCTCTTACTAGTAAATACCAACCAGTCTTAGCAATCCACCAGTATCTGGTCTTTACTCAACTGCAACATAACCATGTGATCTTCACCAGCAATTTGAGAAGATGCTCCAGAAACTGGCTATGACTTTTGTCATGTAACTTAAGTGATCATCATTATGATGGGTCAAATGAAGAGGATCTCCAAGGCTCTTTTTGAGTATCTAAATCACATTTATGTTCACTTTTCTAAATCCTGATTTTCTATTTTCTCTATTAAAACAATTAACTTGGTCCTTCTAGATCGTTTATCAAAATTTGCTCCATTCAAGATTGGGTCAGAAAGAGCCAATAAGGAGCTAAAAAAAAAGTCTGCTAATTCATAACTAAAACCTCAGACGTCATCCAGTGTCTTCCTCCTAATGCACTCTTGGGACATTCAGTTACATCTTTACAGTCCAATCACATTTTTACTACATGAAAAATAAAGTCACATAAACAAAGGAGCCCCTCCTCTACACCTGAAATTTAAGCTTTATTTTAAAAAGTAAGACTTTATAGACAGTTTTAAAAAAAAATTCAGAAGTCTTAAGCATTAATAATGAATCAATATTACAAAACTGGTTACAGTAGTAATTAAAGTAGTGGTAACATTTTACCAGTGTAAACATATCACAGAATTCAGATAAAAACTTTGATCTCCAATGATTCAAGTGCTTAATCCCAGACAATAAAGGTTGGTCAGTTTTAAGATAAAATCCATTTGGAGAGGCCATCCTGGATCCTCCACTATGCTGGTACATCACGTCACACTGTGGGGTAGCTGGCTACTGTGACAATTCCACAGCTGTTGTTCTGGTCTTTGGCCATCTTTATGTACCCAGCTGCACCCCAACTTGTGCCCCAGCTGAAAGAAGAGCAGAATTTCCTTGTTATATGAAGAATCAAGTACATTTTAGTTTTATTAACAAAAACAGTAATACTAAGTATGACAGAGATCAGTGATCTTTCAGACTTAATTAGGAGAGGCAGGTGTTCATGATATATAAATTGTTGAGACTTAAACCTCTATATAATTTGTATATCCCAACCTCAAATAATGACATTTCAGAGAACTATGAAAGAGGAAACCCTTAGGGCAAGATGTCTCTCAAAAATGAAGGAATGTAATGTTAAAAATACCATATTAATACTGTACCAAGCATGGGAAAGAATCTTATAATCAAATATGATATTTTTATGTTTGTCCTGTTCTTCGTTATCTGGTGCTGCTATAAAAGAAATACCACAAAGACAAAACTCACTGCCATCGAGTCAATTCCAAGTCATAGCCACCTACAGGACAGAGTAGAACAGCCCCATAGGGTTTCCAAGGCTATAAATCTTTACAGAAGCAGACTATTTCATCTTTCTTTCAAAGAGCAGCTAGTGGGTTCAAACTGCAGATCTTTTGGTTAGCAGCCCAACGCTTTAACTACTGAGCCATAAGAGCTCCTAACCACAGGCCTAGAGGTTAGGACTTACAACACATAATTTTGGGGGACATAATTCCATCCATAACACTTTAAGTGTGAGAAAAACTTCTAGGATTTTGGAATTGTGCGTAAGGGTTTAGGGACCTGTATCTAAGTATTGATTGGCTCCAAATAAGAATGTCCTTTGTATAATATTTGGTTTTTTTTTTTTTTTTTTTTTTACCTGTTCTTGACAAGCCAATATTTATTGTCATCTGACTCTGTTCCTTCAAAGCCATAGCCAACCACCAGAACACCATGGTTCGGAGCTGTGTTGTTGCATTGAGGATCGAAATAAATGCCTGGGAGAGAAATCAGTGGTGGGATGAGAAGCCCCAAGTGACACATGGCAGTAAGCCACCCTACCAACCACATTAGAGAAGACATCTTAAAGTTCAGGGAAACATCATAATTCCACATGAGATTTGGTTTTATCAAGGTATTGGAGATTGAAGCCCTAGCCTAAAACTAGCAGAAATACAAATTAGCATAATCTCTTCCACAGACAATTTTAAAAGCCCACTCTTTGAAACTTTCTCATTCTAACTATGCCATTCTAAGAAACATAGAATACAAAAACCTTTAGCTAAGGAGTTTTCAGTTTTATTTATAGAAGTATAATCCTTTGGAAAAAAATTTATAGGTACAACAGTTGTAGGAAAATAAAATAAACTGTAAACTCACTGCCATCAAGTCGGATCCAACTCATAGTGACTCCTCCTTGGGTTTCTGAGGCGGTATCACTACACAATTAGATTGCCCAATCTTCCTTCTGAGGAGTGGCTGGTGGGTTTGAACCACCAGCCTTCTGGTTAGCAGTCAAATGCCTTAGACATTATGCCACCAGAGTTCCCAAAATAAGCTACAGATCTATATAATTAATTGGAGTCCCTGGGTGGTACAAATGGTTAAAGGTCTCCCATGGGTGCCTTGGAAGGTAAACCTGATGATCAATTTCTGAAAAATCTCCATTGAAAACAGAGCACAGTGCCACTCTGACACTCTTGGGGTTGCCATAAATTGAGTTGACTAGATGGCAACAGATTTATAAAATTAATTATGTAGCCATTTCAAAAGTGTTTATTGTCATGGGACTATGCTTAAAGTAATTTTAAATGGAAACATCAGATATATGTATCAGAGAATGTTTAATGCACACATCCAAAATTCTATATTGAATTCTACATACAAAGAGTTAATTACACTGGCATGGAATGGTATTTCCCAATTTTTCTGACAACTTTCTACAATAAAAAGAAGATGCCTACCTGAGCTGTAAAACTGGAAGGACATCAGGCTTGCATCAATTGCCACAGAGATGGGACCCACAGTGGCCACTGCCTCCATCAGTGCACTCTCCTGCTGAGGGATGTCCACGAAGCCAGTATCATTGGCAGCAGAATTCTCAGGATTGTAGCGACAGTTTTGTGTGTCCTTTTATAAGTAAACAGGAAGGAGATATGATTACTACCACCTACCTCAGGAAGATGAGTTCTCTGACCCCAAGATTCAGGAGTTTGCAGTTTGATGATTTTCAAGTCAATGTTGTTGTAAAGCAGTCCAGGAAGTAAAATGCAATTGATTGGTTTGAAATTGGAAACTGAGCTGCTATCACTTTTTTTTGGTATCACCTCAATGGGGAGCTCTGGTGGCATAGTGCCTAAGGCATTTGACTGCTAACCAGAAGGCTGGCGGTTCAAAGTCACCAGCCACTCCTCGAAAGGAACATTGGGCAATCTGTTTCCGTAGTGATACCGCCTCAGAAACCCAAGGATGGGTCGCTATGAGTCGGATCCGACTCAGTGGCAGTGTGTTTGGTTTTGGTTTTGGTTCTCCTCAGTGAGACCCATTCTAGAAAATATTTAGTGAGAGGAGAGTTATGTGTTATCCTAAGCCCTGCCTGCCCCCCAAAATATTGCTTTTGTTTTCTCTGTGGAGAAATTTATTCTCCATGTTACATGGAAGAACAGCTAGCTATATGTTAACTGTCTAATCAGAGAACTCTGCAAAGGCTAATGATTTATAATGATAGTTCTGACGGTTACAGAAATAGATTCTACTATCTGAAATGTGAATGCTGAATAAGTTGTCTTATCCTTGAAAGTGTTCAACTTTCCAAAGAGCTGGAGTGACAATGAGATAAGGAGCTTTATTTACCATTCCAAGATATGGATAGGATTCCTCTGAATCAAGGCCTCCATTCTCCTTAACGTACTGGAAAGCATAATCCATTAGGCCACCACTACAGCCTTTATTGCCTTGAGGCCGAGAGCAGTCCACCAGGTTCTGCTCACTGAGTGAAACAAGTTTACCAGTTTTCCGGAACATCTGTCCTTCAAGGGCACCAGTTGCACTAAAAGCCCAACAAGAACCACACTGACCCTGAAAAAATAATTTTAAAAGCTGTCAGTTTACAAGACAAACAGAAAGACTGACAATAGTCCATAAATCCAAACAGACTCCCAAGAGAAAAGAAAGGAAATGAATGTCTCTCCAGTGGATAGCAAAGAGGTCAATTCATTTTTGCCTTTAATATTAGAGATAGATGTGAATATGCATCATGGTCTTACCTGATCCTTCACAGGAGTCACATAGCCTTTCTGACGCCAGTCCACAGATTTGGGGATATGACCAGAGGGAGGTTCAAGGAACACCTTCCCCTTACTATGTTTTTCGTTTTGAAAGCCATTCATCACCTGCCTGAATTCTTCATTGGTCTTCAAAGAAAATAAATGAAATGTTGAAAAAGCAAGAGAGCATTTTTGCTAAAGTACTGAGGAGAGGAAGTGCAAAGTGTTAGGTAAGCAATAAATGCCACACTCACCATGTCACCAAAGGCATTCATGGCCATTGTGAAGCCATGTTTCCCTTGGTTGTATTCCTGATTGTGCAGTTCAATCATCTTCAAATTTTTCTCCCATACTGCTCTCCTCCAACCTTCTTCATTCTAGAAGCAAACATACTTGATCATCTTAATTTCCACTTAAAATCCAACCATCCTCCCCCAGTGGATCAGTAGATGGAAGAGAAAGCATGGCCAAAGATAGCTCTATGCCTCTGCGTGTTCTCCTCCCAGCTCTGACATAGCAGGGACACGTGCATGCCCACACATGTTCAGGTATGGGCATCATGAAGGTAAGCCTTGGTGAGAGGTGGCCTCTAGAAGCTCCTATCTGTCTCCCAACTCCCAACAAGCAAGGACCATTTTCTCTGGGGTCCCTTCGGACAGTTGCAGATGTTACCAACCGAGCCATATGGTCTGTTGTACGTTGACTTCCACTGGTACCATTCTACATCTAAACTGTGGTCATGTTTGGGAGCAGCTGAAGCTACACCCAAGCAAAGTATAGCCAGAAAGAGTGAAGAATGCATGTTTCAAAAACCTAGGAATGGAAAAGAAATAGTATTGGATTAACCAATCATTTTTAAAAGCCATCTTACTCCCTCCTGAAAAGTTGCAAGTCACCAAGGTAAAGTGAAAACAATTACATTATCTTCCCAAGTATTTATACAAAAAAAAAGTAGCACTGGTGGCACAGTGGTTTAGAGATGGTTGCTAACTGAAAAGTCAGCAGTTGGAACCTACCAGCCACCCCATGGGAGAAAGATGTGGCAATCTGCTTCCATAAATATTTATAGGATGAGATTTCTTCGTTCTACTTTGCTCTGAATGAGGAGAGACCAAACTCATAAAAAAGACTAGTTTTACTGGTCAGATTGAGACTGATGAAACCCTGGAGACTATGACCCTCAGTCACTCACTCTTCAGGCTTGGAATTGAATTCACTCTTTTGCTCAATTTTCATACAAACAATAGATAGTCCTACAGGGTGAACAAGTATACCAGGGAGGTGTACTCTTTAGAACGATCAACCATAAGAGAACAAAAGGGCAGCACTTGTGCAGGGATAAAGCTCAGAGGGCAGGAATGCATAGAAAAGGACACAGGGAAAAGGCAACCACAGGAAGGAAGTGGAAAGAGAGCTGTTACATTACGGCGATTGTAATCAATGTAATGAAACAAAATGTGTATGAACTGCTGATTGGAAAATGAATCTGCTATGTAAACTTTCACCCAGATTACAATAAAAAAAAGTTTAAAAAAAAAAACACAATGAGATACCACCTCACCTCCCCCCACCCTGAGCCTTCCATCCCCCAAAAAAGAAAAGATTTACATCATTGGAAACCCTATGAAACAGTTCTACCCTGTTCTATAGTGTCACTATGAGTCAGACTTTTCTAATGGTAGAGGCATTTGATTCAGTCAGCATATGAATAGCACAGGGACAAGTGCTGTAGGAATTAAAACAGATTTATGGTGACAAGGAGCTCTGGTGGTTAAGGTATTCAGCTGCTAACTAAAAGGTAAGTGCTTTGAACCCACCAGCCTCTCTGCAGGAAACATGAGGCTTCCATAAAGATTTATAGCCTTGGAAATCCTCTGGGGGCAGTTCTTCTGTCCTATAGGGGGTAGCTATGAGTCAGAATAAACTTGATGGTTTTCTTTGTTTTTATCTCTGACAGTTCAATGGCAGTTTCTTCCAGTCTCTCCTTCTCAATTGAAACTTTTCTGGATTGCTTTCCCAGGAAAGTGGCGAAGGGGTACCCCCACCGCTCCCCATTCCCACACTTGCACACTTGGGTCTGTGCCACCAACATTCCCACTCCATCCCTCCATCAAACCCTGGGGCACTCACCTACCTATAGAGGCTGCAGCTGCTGCAGGAGTAGTTAGCATAAACAGGGGCTGGGGTCACTGAGGTCTGCTGTTGTGGTCCGGGACTACCTGCTAAGTATTAAAAGCCCGGGTTTACAGCCAGTCGGGCACCACCCCCACCACCTGCACTGGCCTCTGGGCAGGCCCTTGGGGCACAGAAACTAGCTTGGGCGGGAGCACGTCTGCCTCAGTGGACACTGGAGAGTGTAGGGAAAAGAGAGCTCCAGTCGAAGCCTGCCTAGAGGGCTCCAATATAGTCGTTACCCTGAATTAATGGATTTGGCAGGTGACTTATTAAAAAGTGCTTTCAAGGAGATCAAAATGGAATTTCAGACTAACCTGGAATGTCATTTTTTCCTAGTTAAAAACTCCTGGAGGGCAGAGAACCAATAAGCTCCAGTTCTAGTCTGGTCATTGCTGTTTAATGCAAAACAAAGGTGGGTCCTGGTGGAAGAATGAAGAACCCTGGAGTCTGCTATTAACGCTTAGTTTCAGGATGGATGCAGTGAAGTTTTAGAAAAATCTTGCCAGGAAAGCCAATGTCCAAAATGTGACCGAATTGTCAAGGCCTAAATCCTAGTAGGAAAATGGACTGGACCAGGTGGTTCCAGGCTGAATGGCATTTTATGCGCCATCTTTTCCTGTCTCTCTAGTTTAAAACCACCAGAAGTGAGTTGTTGTTGTTGTTGTTGTTATGTGCCATCGAGTTGGACCCGACTCATCGAGTTGTTGTTGTAATGTGTCATCGAGTGACCCTTCCTTGGGTTTCCGAGGCAGTATCACTATGGAAGTAGAGTGTCCCATCTTCCTTACTTACCAAAAACAAGAACTTCTTTAACAAGAAGGGTAAGAGCGCTGGAGAATGGTGAAAATTGCTTTTACTTCTCCCCTCTATTATGGGTAACTATGCCTTTCTCAGTATCCAAAGGGTGCATGTCTACAGATTTAATACTTTAATGACTTCTAATACCCAGATTTAAGTTCTGGACTTGGGAAAATGTTTTAGATGAAGGAAATACGTGCAAAATTAAGAATTTCATGAACTTAATTTGAAAAAGTTTCTGAAGTTTGTCTTTTATTTATTCCATAAGAAACACTTTATGTGCCAGGGGGAAAGAGACCTCCAATTCAGACTTGTTCTACAGAGACCTTTTCATTAAGTCTTAAATAGGACAAAGACAAACATCCAGGATGAAGGAAAACATCAGCATGTACCCAGAACAAAAGCTGAATGGAACTGCTGATTGATGGCCATGAGGCTAATTATATATGACACAAAACAAAGGAAAACATCACAAAATCAGGACTGGTGGCAAGTTAATTCATTGCTGTCTCAGAAGGGTCTACAGAAGTGGGAAAAGGACCATGGTTGGGTTACAAGATTGGTTCTGGAGCTTGACCATCTGACTACATGGTGGTCAGGGTATGATGCATGACCATGTGGCCCTGAGTCATAGCCACAAGGTAGCTAAAGACAATACCAGGACCCCAAACTTCAGCATGTGGCTTTTTTCAGTAAATCATTGAGGACATACCTAGGCAAGTTCCAAACCACAGCCTTCCTGAGGGCAACCTAAGTTTGTCACAGACTTGTCTAGGCATAGGTATACTGCTGGTTTAATAATCTGAAAGAACTCAAATGGCGTCTGAACTTATGTCAAGACTCAAAATGGAGTTAGGGCTCCGGCTGTGGACTGTAGGCTTCCACAAACCAAGTGCTTTACAATTTAAGCTCTAATCCAAACCAAAACCAAACTCATGGCCATTAAGTTGATTCTGATTCATGGCAACCCTCATTGGATTTTTTTAATTATTATTATTGTGATTTGGGTGAAGATTTACAGAGCAAATTCACTTTCCATACAGCAGTTCATATATACTTTGTCTCATATCATTGACCACAGTTTACCACAATGCAACAGCTCCCCTC